GGTTGGCTCTTAAGAGGTGAAAGCGGAACCCAGTCTTGTCCCCACCCGTGCCGGGACAGGCGTGGGACGAGTATTCGCATCGCTGGTTGCCTGGCAACGTGACTACGACTCCGTCGAAAACGTGGTCCCCACATGTGGGACCACGTGTTTTACGGAGATTGATGCTGAACTGGAGCGCGGATTTCCCGGTCCTTCAATTTATGTCACCCAGATTTTGTAGTTCATGGACGTTCTTAATGAGATCTTCATCATTGCGCTAGAAACAGGCTACGCTGGTAATGGGGTTAGCTGCTCTAATGAAAGCCTCCAGCGATCTTAGTCTCGTTCGAGAACGACAGCTTTCGCGAGCGGTTTCTAGTTCTGATGTCATTCATTGCGCGATTGATGAATTGATGACTGATGTCTAATGGCCGTGTCGTGGGCGTCAATACGAACTCTTTCACAGATTTCGTGAGACAAATCGTCATCTCACATGCATTAAATAAGCCGGATCGCCAACTCACGTCAATTAAATTGTCGATGCGCCGATTCTCGGCGCACTGATTATGAAGTGTCCCACATTCCGCAACGTGCGAGGCCGGGTCTGCGCCAGAAATGTATCCACTGGCCTTCACCACGAAACAGCTTCGTCCTGAAACTTGGCAAACTGAAATCGTCTTCATTTTGAAATCGCGGGATGAATCTGTTCTCTGTGATTATAACATACATGTTCCCAGTTTCATTCGAATTGGTCTCATCGAATGTAGCACTAACGACTGATTGTAACACAAGCTCAATAAAATTGCAATGAAACGGCAACGTTGTTTGGCGAGGTGTCACTGAATGCAGTGCATTGTAATCAAGTGCTAAAGCAATACTGACAAATTTTCGGGCGTAACCGCAAAATATTTCGGCATGTTCAATAGGCCCTAGGATTACTGCCAGCAAATTTGGTAGAAAAAAATACGACGGGATTATACATGGTTCCATTGGTGGCCAACTATACAGACGCGACGTCCATTTTCCAGGCGATTGTTGCAATGCTGCAAAATTACAGTATATGTACAAGATAGTGTACACTCCACACATTTGACGTATTCATCATTAAGTACGTTCTGAGAGATGCATGCATATATATATATATATATATATATATATATATATATATATATATATATATAATACAGACGCAGTTGATTGAGAACACCAGAATAGACACCATATGGTAAAATCGTTTGAATTAGGTTTTAATTGTCCCATCTGCCACCACACACCGTGGGCTTCGTCCCAAAACTTTACCCTGGAAACGCATCTGCGGAAAGTTTAACCATTCTGTTGACTGTTGCCATATTTTATACTTAAGCATCTTTATTAGTCACATCAAGATCAGGAAACTATTATGCTGCCATCGACCGAGTCAGTTTTTTCAAAAATTATATCGGCAGAGTATTGGCGCGTTCTTCCTCGCGGTAGTAAAGATCTTCATCGACCTGCGCGTCGGCTATCGAATTTTTGTGTAAGATGGCGACCGAATGTGCCCGAGGCGCTCAGAAACACGATTGACGAGGGTCCGAGGCGCTTAACAAAGCCTGTGTGAACACCATTGGAAACACATGCTGAGTTTCAATGTGTGTAGAGTACTACACTACGTCCTGACATGTAGATGACGTTGTGCTCCTGTTCTGCTTTTGCTCTGACAATTAAAAGGGCCTAAATATCACGCGATGAGGAAGCCTAAGCTCCGCGTCATTCAAGCCTTGAACGCCCAGTAGTGCACCTTTAAGGGCCTTCCGTGAAAAGCCGATGTCTTACTGCGGAAATTGCATGGGCCTCGCCGAGCTCAATTACACGCTTTCAGATAGCCGTGCCTTAATTTAAAAGCGGCGGCTAATTAGCTGGACGCTGTACCGAAATTATGCGGGCGTCGCTGTGTCGTTGGAACTGCCCGCGTGCCTACCGACTATGACACTCCGCCTTAATTGTGTACTCTCTGGCCACATTTAATTGCATTAGCTTCACACGCGAGGCTGTAGTTTTAAAATGCGTGCGGTCATGACGAAAAGCGGCGGGTGCAGGATGTAGTCGCCTTCTCTATTTAAAAACATCCTGCGTGCAGGTTTTCGCTGGGACATCGTATCTGAGCCTTCCCAAGCTGGGGTACCTTCCGTTTAAAACCAGACCGCGCATAGAGCTCACGCCACCGACAGGCTCCCGGAGAACCGGCGAGGTTATGTCTCCGCAAAAGGCACAAACAACGCCGGCCTTGACCCGAGCCGTTGCTGGTAGCGACTCCCCAGGTCGTCTGCCGTTTGGGACTGGCTCCCTCCCCCTCCCCGACCCCCCGATGGGGGGTCGCTTGGCGACGGTGGCTTGACGGTTTGGCCGGGTCGCGTCGCAACAGAGTTTTTTGCCGGCGGTGCGGTACGCGGACGCGTCCACGGATGCTGCTCGCGGGATGTGTTCGGCTGAAACTGCTCACTGATCTTGAACGTGGGGTGTGTTCGGCTGAGGCGGCTCACTTATCTTGAAGGATCAAGGATCTTGATTGATCCTTATCTTGACGGATCGAAGTCTGTTCCAACGGATTTGGGCCTACCAAACGAGGCTTTGAATTTGTATCTTTCGTATGAATTGTAAACCCCAACAAATCCGGAACGCGTGCAAAATTGTCATTCATTACGTTCTGTCTTCTTTTGTCTTTTTCTTTCTTCCTATTTTGTTTGCCAGTGATCGATACCGTGTTCATAATAGTGATAGTCATTCATAATGGAGGTATCATCAGGTGGTCATCGCTCTTCACTTCCCTTATGTTAGAGCTAACATTGGCGCCGACATATTACGGCGTAAAGAGATTGGTATTTGTAGTGAAAAGAAAGCCGTGCTATTAATCAGGGAGAGCACGTAAAAACGCTCTACACTTCCAGCCTGGAACTATCAATGGTGCACCAATACCCTTAACGGCCATTTGCGATTTTACTGACAAAGAGCCTCGGTCTCCATTGGCAATACAATTACTTTGCACGAGTGATGCCCCAGTTCCCAGCTCGTTAACCTCTGCTTTTCGCTCTTTCCCTCGCTTCCCCCTCTTTCACTCTGTCTCATGTTTTGCCGGACTTCCGCCCCATTTGCCTCGCTGGGCGATGGCTTTCTAGGGCATGTGCCTTAAAGGAACTGTCCACAGACCCCTGACGTGCCGGCAACATGGCGGGGAGCGCTCTGTGACGGCACGTCTCAGCTGTCACGGGCCAACACTAACGACCACTTGCCGGATGCGTCGGCGCCTGCTTCATCGCAAAGGAAGAAGCCACATCATCGGCTCGGTAAAAAAAACAACAACAAGGGCGATCGCCGCTCGTTCATTCCACCGAAACTCCGAAAACACTCATACATAATGCAATGGCATGCATTACAACACCCAGCACAACAATGGACGCCGTTTTTTCCTCGTTTACCATGCGCCACTTTTACAAACGGAGCACTTAGAGTGTGAATGGCGTTTGTGGTCGTTACGACAGCATTTACAATATATGTTCTGATTAACAAGTGTTGAATATAGCACCTTCCCTTCCCTACGCAGAACCCTAACATCGCTCAACAGTTACAAGAATATATAGCTTCTGAAGTAAGCGACAAAAGTACATAAACAACGCCAACACTACACATTTCACTATGGCCTCATGGCCACATTTCAGGGGTGGATGGCTATGCCAACGCGCCGGTCACGTTCGAAGGGCATTTACAAGATTTGGGCTACCGATGCTGGTGCATTGGTTGCCAATTGCCGTTTCTCCATCTTTTGACGCGGGAAATCGTATCACTTTCAGGGCTTCATTTGGCTTGTTTCCTTCCTATGTGCTAGTCAGAATTCCTGCGGCATCCATCCGCCATCAATCGCCCCTTACTGTTGTAAATTGCCAGGCATGCGTTGGCTTTGTGATGGAGTGAACACGTGTCTGCACATCGTAGTCGTGTCGCCATCATCAACGGCAAGGCGTCGGTGCGCCGCCATCAACGCAGACGTCAAACGGTGCAGATGAATCGCAACGGAAGGGATGAAGAACTGGAAAGAGACTGATGCAAATGACGCTACGTTTCCACAGGTACCAACAATTTCGAATTATATAAATCCAATACTTCTTGCTCGGCCCAATACCTTGAAGTCTGGGAACTCCCGTTCAGAACGATGGACGGTGACAGAGTTACATCTTAGATGAGGACGTGTGGTGAACGTCGCCAAAGTGAATGAAAGCTATCGCCAGTTCCGGAGGGAAACATGTTTAGTTTCATCCAAAACGGACCACCAATGATGAAAGCGTTCGTTTCATAACCTAGGTGAGTTTACAACATTAAAACGTCTGTACACCACGGAACACGTACAGTAATCATTACCAAAATTGGCGCATCGGGCTGACAGGCTCCGCTACAAAATAACAGCTGTTTTCTGTACAGAACCGCCACCATATGGTTAATTGCACTATGACCCATTCAGCTTCTAACGGATGGTGATCCATTGCCACCATACTTCCGGTAATCACAGAGAAAATTGGTGGGTAGATCAGGTTGCCCCGTTAGCACCCAACCTTGAGTCTCTAGGGAGCAGTTGTGCGGGCTTGTCAAGCTCCAGCGTATCCACACTTCCTTCATTTAGCGAACACTCTACCATCGCAACACCGACAGCCAGTGTCAATCAATGTCTGTTCGCAAACCACAATATCTGTTCATCGAAAAGCCACATGCCCTCAGGGCACTAAAACATTTCCACAACCACGCCTTCAGCTTCTGCGGTCACCACGCAGCGTCAGACGTCCGAGCCGCGCCTCACCGAGGCGTGGCTCATCACCCGAGAGGTCGGTAAGCCTTCGCCGGCGTCTGTCCCGCCGGCCGCCTCTCGGCACCGCCGTAACCCTCGCTGCGTCCCACAGCAGCTGGACTGCCCCGGCGGCGCGTCTCAGATGGCGTGCAGCGCGTGCCGTCCGCTGGAAGCCTCGCGGGACGCGCCGTCTTCCTCCCCGCGGCCTCCCTCAGCCGATGGCCGGCACCTTCAGGGTCAGGTGACCGTTGGACGTCTCGGCCAGGCTGCAGGGGTTGAGCTGAGCGTGACAGGGGAAGGCTGCCGAAGCCCGTGAGGCCGGTGCTCGGGTCGACGGACATGGCACGCTCCTCCATCTCGCGCTGGTCGACCGACTTGCCGCCCGTGGCGGCGGGGGAACACCGAGTTCTCCGCCTGCAGGGCGTTGTTGACGTCGGGTAGGCGCGCGCATTGGCACGCCTTAACGAACGACTTTCTTGAAGTTGTCGCTGAGGAAGGCGTACAGGATGGGGTTGACGGCGCTGTTGAAGTAGGTGAGCGTGTAGACGAGCAGGATGACGCAGACCATGACGGGGCTGTGGCGGACGCGCGCCTCGCTACTGAGCGTCATCGAGAGTTGGGTGACCCAGAAGGGCAGGTAGCAGCAGAAGTAGACGGTGATGACGGTCAGTACCAGCCGCGTCACCTTGCGGTGGCTCTTCTTGCGCTCGCGAGACCGGTTCTTCGGCCCCACATGGCGTAGCTTGTGGATGACGAGGACGTAAAAGACGAGGATCAGGATGACGGGCATGGCGAAGGACATGACGAAGGTGTAGAGGGTGAACGCCTTCTCGCCGCCGATGTCCTCCGGCCAAAAGATGTTACACTGGCCCTCGTACTCGGCAGCGTACATGAAGAGCGGCACCACCATCAGGGAGCTGGCCGTCCAGGCCGTCAGACAGACGATTTTGGACACGAGCGGTGTACGCCACTGGGTCGAGCTGATGGGGTGACAAACGGCGAGATAGCGGTCCGCACTCATCACCGTCAGGAACAGACTGCTGGTGAACTGGTTGATGCTGGTAATGGTCCAGTAGATCTTGCACATGACCATGCCGAACGGCCAGTGACCCAGCGACATCGTGGTCAGGATGAAGGGAATGCTGATGAGGAAGATCTCGTCCGCCACCGCCAGGTTGAAGATGTAGAAGTTGGTGACGGTTTGCATCTTGCTGTAGCGCAGGATGACGTAAATGACCAGCGTGTTACCGCTCAGCCCGATCATCATCACTGTGGCGTAGAGGATGGCGTTGATGACCTTGTAGGGGTCGGTGCTTGGCGCCACCTGGAGACAGTTGACCGTATCGTTGTCCAGCAACTGAAGCACCGTGCAGTTCTGGTACGGATTTCCTGACGCCATGGCCGAGGCGTTCGCGATGTCGTCCTAACAGGCGAAGCACCGGCGCGATGACCAGTGCCGGGACCTCCACTAGCAGCTTGGTCCACCTAGTGACGAAATTCGGTCGCCAGGATCACCGGTGGGCAGAGGCGTCGAAGACCTTAGACAGCGACGACGTCACTCAGCGGGCCGCTCGCGCGGAGCAACAGTTGCCGTCTAGGAGCCGGAGGCGCTCCAGCAGGCTCAGTCTCGGCAGCTTCCGGCGGCTGCCGGAGATCAGCGCTTCCGGCCGGGAAATCAGGGAACGTCCGGCACAGACGGGAGCCGGAGAGGCGGGCTTGCCTGGCAACGCCTGCGCGTCGAGACAGACGGCAGTAGACTGCTGACAGCGGCTCGGCGACTGGCGGGAGGCGGAGGCGGCAGGCCGGAGCGGAAGGGCTCGCGCTCGGGAGCCGACGACGTGAGGCGTGGCGCGACTTCGTGAGGCGCGCGAGGACTTCTCCCTAGCGTCCGGCCGGCAGGCGTCGCCCGTTCGGCGCCGAGCTCGGCGGGCGCCTAGAGGTGGAGGCAGCACTGCAACGAAACAGAATCGCTCCGTCAATAACGCAGGTACTTCGCGCTAGGTGAATCTTCTCGCAGCATCAAGCTCCTGAAAATGTATTCGTGCATGCAACCTCTTGCAGTATTGGCTGTAATGGTAATTGAATGGTTTTAGCTGTCTGTTACAGGACAGCGTTGCATGCTAAATTATGGAGCGCTGCTTATTTCCCGATAATAAGAGGAGGCACCGACATAAGTGTTGTGCCATACGGCATCTGCTGTGACGTTAACGCTTAGGAATGTGCAGTGATCGACGCTCTGTCTAGTGGCGACTATAGTAATGCATACAGTTAACTCCAATCAGAAATCAAGGCAAAGCTGCAATTCTTTGATGGTGTGTTTTCCTAGCAACTGTAAGTGGTAAACTGACAACGTTTTATGGTTAAAATATCAAGTAAAAGATGAACGACCGTGAAGATATCATGAACGGTTCACATCCGATGTCATTTGCTGCGTGATGCAACTACAGGGGTTGTCGTTAGATTAGTATAGTTGTCGGCCGGTCGACAAATTGGCGACAGATTAGGACAAGACAAGTGGCTCCACGACGCGGTCCTGTGCCGACGCCGCTGTCACGGCCGAGCGCGTTGGGGCTAGCGGCGATGTGCTGCTCCCCTCCCGGCTCTCGACCAGACCCCGCCGCGACACGCTCGCTCGATCAGCCATGAAGAGCGATCGGCAGGTCGCCCGGGGCCCCAGAGGGTCGCTTCGACCCGGGGCACGGCCCGTCACACCGCCCACGGCCGGCAGGGGGCTCAGCAACAGTCTGTTGTGCTTGGCGTTGGTGCGACGACGCTTGGCCAGAGTTGGTCACGGACGGACACTGCCACCACGGACGTCGTGCTGGCAGTGGGTTGCAAATGTAGGTCACAGACCGATCCCTGGCGTCGTGTGCCATGCGAAGGGTAGAGCAAAGACTGACCGCAAAGAACGGGCGGAGACCGCCCGCTGGTCAGAGGCACGCCCCCCCCCCCCCCCTAGCGTCGGAGCGGGTACCGGCAGCCGTCACTAGGCTTCTTCGCCGGAAGCTAGGCCTTCGCTCTCTTCCGCTGTGCTGTGATGTGCAGTAGCCGGATGTCCGATGCAGAATTCACGCCCGGCGGCCAAATGGTGCCCCGTTACAACGGACACCAGAGCGGCTCTATCACTCACATATGCAATATGGTGTTCATACTAGGAAGACATGCGCCCATAATGAGAAGGGAATAATAGGTTAGCGGTGGAACGAGAGGTACATGTGAAACTGGCTGGTGAATGGATGATGCAGCGTCTGGATTACGTGATAAGCACGAAGTGGTATCGCACGGTTGCCGATTGCTCGCTGCTCATTTGGCTACACAGTGCGTGATCGGGAGGATAGAGGCGCGTGTGCAATGTGCATCCATAGGACTGTGTATGTGAACATCTATTGTGAGACAAAAAACCAGCTGCTCCCGCCCAGCAGCGGGACACCCCGCCCAGCAGCAGAACACGCCGCCCAGCAACGGAAACACCCCGCCCAGCAGCGGAACACCCCACCCAACAGCGAAACGCCCCGCCCAGCAGCGGAACACCCCGCCCAGCGGCAGACCCACGCCCAGGAGCGGAATGCCCCATCCAGCAGCAGAACACCCCGCCCAGCAGCGGACCCACGCCCAGGAGCGGAACGTCCAACCCAGCAGCGGAACCCCCGCTCCACTGCCGCGCGCTGGTCCGTCCAAATAGCCCGCTCAGCAGCCGGCGCACCCGTATTTCAGCCGGGGCGCGACGCGGGCCGTGATAAGGGAGATGTGTGTGGCGTGCCCTGCATGATGAAGGCGGCGCACCGCGCATGAGCTGTGATGAACGCGCCATGCAGGCGCAATGTGCCATGCATGGCCGGTTCGTTCCCGGTAATAAGCTCGTCCTATGGCAGGCGTCTCTCTCATGATCCATTCAGTTAGTCGTTGAACTGTAAAGAAGCGTGTCCTGAGTACGAACGCCTATGAGGGGAAGAATGCACCTCAGCTTGTTCAGGTTGTCACCAGTTCGTGCGTAGCGGATTGGAAAAACGTAACGTTCCACAAAGTGTTGATTGTTAGAATGCAGTTTTCAACCCATCAGGATGTGCAATCCAACCGCCAAAATGCACGGAGCCATGCACCAGTATCTATTTGCGATGTATTGTTATATTCACTCTGGAACCATTGTTATTCATGTTATAGACAATTATATGACACGTACACTACATGACAAGTAGTCAAGCATTGCAAACCTTCGCTCACGCTCTGAGAGTGGTGAGTCGCGCTAGTTGGCGTGTATTTAACACAAGGATCTATCAGCACTTTTCAATGAGCATTACATGCACATTTATAGCAATGGTCAATGGGTGCATTGCCATCATGACCAGTATTGAGTGATCACCATACATTGCTCTTTTCAAGGCCTCGCACGTTCCCCAAGTGGGTCTTTGCTGCTGTCCCCATCAGGTCCCAGCACTTGGCCGGCCCGCTCGTTCCATCAATGTCGTGACTTCGTGTATTCACGCTTGCATGTTAACGATCGTCTTTCCCGTCTCCTTGTTTGTCCTCTCGCCAGTGTGCCATCGATCGCCGCCTCCACGCCCTAAGGCAGCACCCCCGCCTCCGGCCGATCCACCGCTCGCGTGCCACTTTTTCCCCGCTCGTCGAGGGACCATCAGGTCAAATCTCCGCCGGGTCCGAACGACTGTCCAGACTTTGTTCCGACCTCCGCTCGCGCGCGCCGTCCGCCGCTGTCATTAATCAGCTCGTTCGCCGATGGGCGAGCTCTCCCCACACACCGCTCTGTGTCAACCCGTCTGGCGGCTTCGGCGCGCCCGTAATTGGAGGCTAGCGTCCCCGTCGCTGTTTGGTGATGGGATGAACGGCCGGCTGGGACCGTGCCGGCCTTATGAGCTTTGCTGTCCGTCGTTGACAGGGCTGTCGAGGGCGTCTCGTTGAGGATGTTGTTAATTTAGGTCACCGATTTGGGTTTAAGGATTTATCTGCTGTGATAGCAGTGGTGGTTTGTATCCATATAAAGTGCCGGTATTTGTCATTGCTTTCTTTATCGCACAGTGTCAGTATATTTCCTCTTACTGCGATCAGAGTCGAAATGCGGGCACTTTTTCACGTGGCTCTGAATAAACCTAGACACTTTTCGTTGCTGCTGAGCTGCCAAGAGCAAAATAGCTCTTTCAAATGCAGGTGAATGAGGATGTCGGAAGACCAATGGTATGTATACGGGATAACGTACGTGCCGCCAAACACACGATGTCGAACTTTGCATTTTCAGTGCCGGAGTTTTCAACATTTTCAGATGCGAAAACTTCAAGGCCTTAGCTTGCATAGGTCATCGAAAACAAATGTTGTGAAGGTCATGTCGGTCATATGTGTCTCAGACACCCATTAATTTACGAGTGGCGTCAAGTGTACACTTTAAAATACTTCCGTGACTTGAAGGTCAGTTCGTCGTAGTCCATGCGTATGTGCGTACGAACATAATCCGTCGTTGTAATTCCGTATACTGCAAAGGGCCAGTTTGATGCACACACACACACACACACACACACATATATATATATATATATATATATATATATATATATATATATATATATATGTATATATGTATATATGTGTATATATATATATATATATGTATATATGTATATATGTGTATATATATATATGTATGTATATATGTATATATATATATATATATATATATATATATATATATATATAAGCGCCCTATGTGACGTATGCAGATTTGCGGAGTACGATGAGCTCTGACTGTCATTGACAAACTAAGTCAAATGCTCCAAATGGATAAATATTCATGGACACATATTTTGCGTTCCACGACCTGACTTGATATACCTTAGCACATGGTGAAGACATATTGAGATGGTTGGTGCAGTTTAGTAGGAGCTATCCGACGCAGCTTGTGTTGTGGCAGCGTGTTCAGCTTCTGATAGGGCGGGGTGGAGCATGGACACGAAATGCTTGACCCGATTGGCTTCATTTGACTTGCTACGGGTCGTACCCACTGATGGGTTACCATAGCGTGTAACCACGTGTGTCAAGGAACGCAAAGCATTATTTTCCACGTTGGCATAGGGCACGTAGTTTCCAGAATAGAACAAGCCCGACCTCATTAATTTTTCTCTATTGATTGGTTTACCCCATTAACGATATTTTGTACCAAAGTCCGCTGATGCAGATTCAGTGCAGTATTGCTGTAGCTATCCCATGCGACGTTTTGCTCGGCTTGGGCATGTACATTTGTGGGTAGTGGGGCTGTGACTAGATTTGTGCTCGGCTTCAGTAGAGTACGTCCAACTCTGATTCTGTCTCAAAGGATACAGAGTCAATTTAGACCCTGATTCCAACCGACTTTTGCAAATTGAAGCTATCTCCGCATGACTCTGATTGCTTTGAAATAAATGCGGTCGACTCTAACTCTGACCCGAGGAAATCTTGTTCAGTTCCCGACCCGACTCCATCCTGACTCTGGGTGCATCAGGTGACACAACCCTGGCTCTGACCTCCCAATATCTGATGGAGTCAGTTTCATCCCGGCGCAACCAGTGTGGCTCACTCCTGGGAAAGTGAACGTTCGTTCATAGTCGCACAAGCACGCGATCTCAGTTTTTTGTGTGTAAATGGCCAAGATGGAGTGCTCCAAACACAAATAGCCAGGTTAATTGCAACTCACCGATTACGATTCTTAAGCCCTCAGCCGTGGCCTTAGTGAACGCTACCTGTTGCCCGCCAGGTATTTCATCAACGTGCCACTCGATTTGTCATGACCCGTTGGCGGGGGGCCGATGATCTCTACCATAATCATCCACGTGCCAACGTTTATTTGAGATCCGCGTCTACCTGACGTCTACCAGAAGGCTGTGTCTACCAGGTGTGACAGAGAGAGCTGTGTCTACCACACGTCTACTGGAAGCCCGCGTCTACCAGACGTTTGCCAGAG